AAAACAGTACAGTCTCATTTGGTGCAAAAGTCAAGCTATATATTCGGCTCGTTCAATTTGTTGGTGATTGGTATTGCTACATTTCATACTGGAAACAACCCATTTGTGATTAACATTTTGTATTGTTGTTATTAACAACGTCCAGCTGGACATAACCTATAAACTACAATATATGTATATAGCAAAACGTATTTTTACATACACACGCGCTTACTCGCTCAAATCTGTAACTGTATCGAAAAAGGTATTGCACTTCCGGCATTGTTCACTTTTTTATTTTCCTCGAGTTTTCAGGTAACCCATTTTGTATCGTGTTATACAAATTAATATAAGCTTACTTGTTAACAGGGTTATATACTTACTTACATTGTAAAATATACTTATATTCTTCTGAGTATCTGTAATTAAACTTTCAATACTATTACTGGAAGAATTTTTTTTATATATCGATTCCGATTCTAATTGAGGATCACAATTGGTCAATTGTATTATTCCTGTACTTTACAATACACGTATGTATGTATATGTTTTAGCGCCCTCTGACCTTATGTAAATTATTTGAATATGATATAAAATTTCGGCATTCACCGTCAAGTACCTTATTTATAAAACATTTAAAAATTACCCTTATTTATGGCCTATTGTTACTCACTTCCAATTCTTCCTCTGAATTGTCACTATATTTTTTCTTTCAATGCTGCTTTTGGCTTGCCTCCGTGTATATCTATTTTCCGTGTGCACTAAATTGACATACGGTACCGGACAACAACTATGCAAACAAAATAATAATAACAAAAAACAACGTATATTGCAAATAAACAACAACAACGCCATGAAAATTTGTATGCTGTTGGCTGCTGATTATTACTAAATTATTTAATCTATCAATGATAACAACGTGCAATTCTCGTTCATCCTCATCAAATGGTAAAACTCTTCATACTCGTCGATCATTTTTGATTGTGAAATTTGTCAATATATCACCATATCATACACCTCACCTGTAATTCATTGAATATTTGCTTGGACGCTTCATTCTAACATCAACGTCATCAAATGTCTTGTGATCAACAACATTTTCTCACGGCTGCATGACCACTTATATACATATCACATGCTACTACATACGTACACGTTTACGATTATGCACATAAACGCACACACACGCATATGTTTATGTGATATACATGTATATGAAATATATATGCTTACATACAACTGTTAACAAATAGTGGTGAGCGCCTTGCGTCATGTCCCTAAACCAGGATACGGCTTGGCTCCACGCTCACATACATTCAGTGCATCCACTGCGGCTGGTGGTACTACTGCTGTGCACCCTGTTGCTACTGTAAGCGCTTTCAGTGTGTTGCTTTATTTCATTCTGCCTAATAATGCCTTTTTAATAATTTTAATTTTTTTCATACTCCAAGTAAATAGTTTGTGTTTTCTATTTAATTTGATTGTGCATTAAGTTTCATTTAAACATTTTAATTATTTTTCAGCAGAATAAACGTGAATAGTTAAATTTATTTATTTTTTGAATATACCATATAGTGTTGGAAAGATTAGTGAAATCTCTATAATATAAAATAAAATTTAAAAAAAWTTGTATTAATGGGTTCATTAAAAATATTGAGTTTGCGAAGTCTCATATTCTTAATAATTACCATGTATTAGTTTTAAAATACCACTTGACCTAAATATTCATGACCTGCCACTTCTTATGTGCCATAAAAAAAGTGGAGTCCATATACATACATATATTATCCTAGCTGCAATTGATTGCATCTTCGCAAAGCTTTTTTTATGAAAATTAGTCTTTTCTTTCGCGAAAACCACCTTTATGAATAACTTCACAATAATATAACAAAAAACTTTTTATTTTAAAAAAATGTATCTGCAGAATTTTTAGAAATAAAAAAAGTAGCAGTAAGTGTAGCCGGGTTGCAATAATCTTTTTTTTTTTTAATTTGTAATCCAAAAATCTTAATTAAAGAAATTTTTTAATCCCAAATACCGGATTGAAACAAAAAAGTCTTAATCCCAAAAAATCAATTTACTTATTCATATATGATATGTAAATAAATTTACAGACAGACTAGGAATCCAAGGGAACTAACTAGCTGCTTAAGCAAACTGTTAATAGCAAATTGAAACAAAAGAGTCTTAATCCCAAAAATAAAATAAATATTTTAAAATTTAATCCCAAATATTGGATAAAAAATTTAATGCCACCTTCTAATAAAAAATTAAAAAAAAATAAATAAATTGTTTAAGAATTAAGATTTTTGGCTTTTTCGTACTTTGTATTCTACAATTTTCATAAACTTTGGAAAAGGAAGCTTAATAAGATATAAACATAGTTTAGCACTTCATAGTTAGCACAATTGTCTCTAATTTTAGCGTTACAGTTAGAAGTATGTATATTTTTTTCCAGTTCTTATTTTGAAAAATAATTTTTTATTTGTTACTCGATCTAAAACTAAATATTTTCTCAATTTTTAGTCGAAAATCTTTGGCATTGAAAATTTAATTTTAAATTTTGTATCATTAAATTAAAAAAATATAATTTTCCATCTTTTACTTTTAATCCCAGATTAGAATCAAATTTGAATTGAAAAGTTCGTAACTCTGGGTGTAGTTACTTTTACTACAGTTGTCGCAGTTTAGGTTAAGATTATATATATTAATTTTATCTAAAATTYTTTATTTTCTCTAAATCATTTACACATGAAAACCACCATAATATTAAGTTTATGTGATTAAATTTATTAAAATTGATTTTAATAAAAAATAATTACCAGACACCTACATATGTATGTAGGTCCACCCAAAACACACAGTACAAATTCTTTATTTTTGTTCTTTTTTGATATATTTATATTGAGGGTTGGTTATTGYTTTTATCTTTATCTTTAAATCGAAATTTTTTGTTAATTTACTTGGCACGGCATGAAGTTGCATTGTTTGTTTTGGTTTCTTATTTGCACCTTCTTTGTAGTCTAGTTTTTTTTTTTTGCTTCACACATATTTACTAGACATCCGCACATACCAATATCGATTCAATACCAAAACCCAAATTATTGTTGTAATATTTATACATTTTGAATTCTYACTCTTGCCACTCATTAGGATTTTTCATATGGAGGTCTTGTGGATAAAACTCATAGTACAGATTTAAGTTGCGGAAAATCAGAAGGTAAGCAAGCGCGTATTTAAAATAGTAAATATTGTTTTATTATAAATTTCTTTTATTTATTTTTAACCCTCTTTCATGATCAGCTTCGGTTGATTCCATAACTGATGGTGATAGACGGGCACTGGTGAGTATAACATTAATATAACAACAACAAAGTATAACATTCATATAACAACAACAACATTATCTCAACTGTAAATATTCATATTGATTTTTTTTTAACAGATGGGTGGCGAGCTTCCTGCTTCAAGCACATATTCGGGTGTATTGTCCTATCATTATCCGCAAGCTGGTTTAATTCGTCGGAGTTTACCCAACATGGCGCACTCATTGCTGGTACATGAGCCGGCTAAGATTTATCCTTATCATTTATTAGTCATCACAAACTATCGTCTACCAACAGACGTTGATCGCTGCAACTTAGAGGTAACTGCCAATTCATTAACATTTTTAACATTGACTCAAATAAAAAAAAAATCGTATTTCAATCCCTAGCGTCATTTGTCGGATGTAGAATTCGAACATGTGCTACAATGTTCACGTTCCGAGTTCTACCGACTACCCCAATGGAGACGAAACGAGCTGAAGCGACGGGCTAAACTATTCTAAAAACAAAACAAAATTCATAGTAATAATATTGAATCAGCATTTCTTTGTCGGATAACTGGCTGGATAAATAGGACTGTCTCAACCCACACACACGTACACCTGCGGCTGTTCGTAGCATAAAAAGCAATTGAAAGCATACACACTCAAAACAAAAAGAGAAAAAAAAATTACAATCGATAATTAAAAGTATAAAAGTTCGTCGTATACACTTGCTTTTTTCTATAATAAAACGATATTTACGAGTCAATGTCAATAGCTTTGCTATTCACACTTGCTACACTCACTAGAGACAAAACTATTGAAACTAATAGCTGCAAATGAGAAGAAGAGCCAGAGACCGCCTCAACCCTAGTTACCAAATCGACAACCAACTATCTTCTTATAGTGAATAAGATTAAGTGGAATTGCCTGAATGCAAATATTGACCGATAAAAAAAAGAATAGATCTGACAAGCTTTACAGCTTTCTATTACGAGTATACAAAAATAGTAAAACTTAAACTAAATCTGAGCTTTTTCTATATTATGTAGCATCCATACATACATATATTACTTCTGTTCGCAATTATATTGTATTTATATACGCATGTATTTTTAAATTATATTAAAAGAGAATKTTGCGAGAGCTTGTACTACGTATGTGTTGCATATGTACGAGACGTACTCACATACACACACATATATTTGCATGTATGTTGATTTCTCTATATATATTTTCATTTCCTTTATGCATTTGTATTTATTCGCGTATAATTAAGGCGAAATAGGTCGAAAAGCAGAAATGATGCTAAATTACTAATTTGCTTTCTAAAAACAACACAAAMAAAAACATGCAATTAAGATAAAAGAACACGCTGAAAATCTGATAATTGCATAAAAAATATGTATTTACAAATATATGCTTAACATTTATTTAATGTGAAATATCCACTCTTTTGTTTGCTGATGCTTAACAAAGTAAGTACAAATATATATTTTTACAGTTTTTTTGTGAATTTATACAGCTGTCTATCAAAAAATATAAAATATGTATATGTAGTTAAAGATATCTAAATATTTACAAGAGAAAATATTTTTACGATTCTATATACGATGCGATACTTTTAAACTTCTAAAGTTGATTTTGTTTTTAGATCGATTTTGGAACTCACCTTGTTTAGCATACATTTTTCGGTATATATTAAAATTATTCGTTATTTATTGCAATCAAAAGCTTTTATTTTTGTTTTTATAAATGGAGTGCAGTTTATTGTACAAAAATACATGTAGAGTTCGTACTTGTAGTCAAAATGTGCKTTTTCGCAGTGAGTATTTGGATAAGGATTCTTACGGAAGGCTTCTGTGTTTTGTTTAGTACAATATACTTAATCGGCTTTAAAACTATTTTATTGTTTCTAATTTGGAATGTTCGCTTCTCTCATTCGCATGAAGGTCATATGTAAGAAGAGTCTTCATAACAGTTAAACTACTTCCTATAACTTGTTTATGGTAAATTTGACGAGTAATGAATCTGAAAATGAAGCACACGAAAAGCAATTTATTGGTATCAGAAACAAATGAAATATTAGTAAAATGAAATTACCCCATATTGTCATAGAAATCGCGTTCTTCCTCTTGCCACTCGGAAATTGTACATTCCAAAGAGATACATCCATTCGCAACACATTTTTTTGACACCAAATTCACCATTGGTTCGGCGATTCTCTGAAAGGGATAATCGGGAGCCATAGCAAAGCGATACATCCAAGCTGCCTTATAAAGTGAATTGTGCTTTTTAACACTTACTGTAGCGATTATCTAAACGTCAATTAAACAAATATGTTAATGAGAAAATCATTTATTGCAGAATTATCTTGAGTACCAACCTTTTTTCTAAATTTATTTAGGTATGATTGTTCATAAGGAGATTCATCAAGGAAGATTTGGTATGTCGCTTCTCGCGGTTTCAAGCGAAATATGAATGGTTCGTAGCATTCCGCTACGAGGGATTGTGATGGTTTAGTCTGTAAATGAAGCAAACTTAATTCCACTTTACATTSAAAGTACATATTTTAGTAAAATTTACCCTCATCAATTCTACGGCCTTAGCGTAAAATGAAAAGTATGTACCAGAGAATAAGAAAAATATACACCCAGGTATGGTCATTGCACAAAACTGCAACGGCACACCGATGAATATGAATAGTATAGCCCATGTTATTACAATGAATTGCAGAGTTATCTGTAACAATATAACTAATAATACTTAATTGTTCAAGGCTTATTCGTTCAAGGACAAAAGTTTTCAATATATGTACCTCTCTGAAGCAAAAGCAGTAGAAAGATCTCTTAACGAAGGACATAATGTAATCACGGACTAATTCTTGGCATTTAAGCTCATCATCATCACGATAATTGCGAATCACAATAAACGGTTGCATTTGTATGAAACGCAGGTATGCCCACCTGACATTAATGTATTTAAAACGAATAAATTCGTTAATTTATAGTAGAACCTTAGAAAAACACTGTGCAAACAAAACAAAAGAGAATTGTGATGACAATCCCGAATGTTTTTCTATTGGATATATGCACAGTAATCGATTGCAAAATACAATATAATACTATGTCTTCCCTAGTATACCCAGAATCACATTCCATACATAGAACATTAGTAGTTCTGATTGATTGTATATGAAAATTATGCTTATTGGAAGCCACCCATTGTTCAATAAATTGTATAATTGAATTTAATGAAAAATATATACTGAAATCATTTTCGTTTTGCTATGTCTTTTAAATTTGAGAACTTTATTATGTGTTCTTATAAGTGTTAAGACTCTTCTTGGGAAATAAATTCGCCGTCTACCCTAATGTATTTGTTGAGAATGCCGTTTTAAAATGTTACGAGCACATTCGAGCCACAGTTATTTATCGATTTCACTCGATGTCGATTGATATGCTCACATTTCATTGAACTAATCTCCAGCGGCTTTTATTGCAATGGTTTCCATTTTTGCAATTATTTTGTAAAAATATTTGCAAATTTRGTTTAAAGTGAGTAGCCGAAGTGATTACTTTAGAAGTGTTTAAAGTATTATAAGTTTGCAAATATCCCCAGTATTGATACTGGACGATTGAAAGAACTTTAACTTGTTAAAAGTTGCCCACAAAAAAAGGTAACAAACAAATCAAAAAACTTCAAAAGTGATATAAAATATATTATTAATAACATAATAGACATTTAGATAACTTCGGTGTACTCATCAGCCTCTTGCAATGGAGGATACACTTAATTTAGAAGTTGAAGAACCAATGGTGGATGAAAAACAAGCCGGTGAAAAACCTGCGAATGCAGTAAAAGAAATGCGGGACCGCAAGGAGGGTCGAAATTTTATATGCGGCGTAATTGAGGGTAATGTTAGTATATTCTTCTTTAAATGAATTACTCCAAGTTTCTATTTCTAAATACAGGATTCTATGGAAGACCGTGGACAACGGAGCAACGGAAGGATCTATTTATAAAGTGCGTAAATATGAACTATTTAATGGTAAATTATTTTTTAATATTTTAAATCCTTTAGGATGAAGAAATGGGGTATGGATTCATATGTGTACGCCCCAAAGGATGATTATAAACATCGAGCTTATTGGCGTGAACTATACACGGTTGAAGAAGCTGATCATCTGACAAGTATTATAATTATTAATTCAATTTCGTAGATAAGTAAATGTTTAATGCAAAATGATAATACAATGGTTACAGGCTTAATAACGGCAGCTAGGGAGCACAATGTAATGTTTTACTACGCTCTCTCACCTGGCTTGGATATGTCGTACAGTAACCCAAAAGAAATTCAAACACTAAAAAGAAAACTAGACCAGGTTTCACAATTTGGATGTGAAGCATTTGCATTACTTTTTGACGATATCGACTCGGAAATGTCAAAAGTTGATAAAGAAGCTTTTCAAACATTTGCCAATGCTCAAGTAACACGAACGCTAATATTTATATTAATTTTTTATAATATTTTCTTTGAAACTAGGTATCTGTTACAAACGAAATATTCACACATTTAGGCAATCCGAGATTCCTATTTTGTCCCACTCAGTATTGTAGCACACGTGCGATACCTACAGTTCACGATTCAGAATATTTAAATACGTTAGGTTCAAAACTAAATCATGATATCGATATCATGTGGACTGGAAACAAAGTAATCTCAAAAATTATTAGTCTCGAATCAATTCAGGAAATTACTGAAATATTACGTCGACCACCGGTTATTTGGGATAATTTGCATGCGAACGATTACGATCAAAAACGAGTTTTCTTAGGTCCTTATTCSGGTCGTTCACCAGAATTAATACCACATTTACGAGGAGTTATGACTAATCCAAACTGTGAGTTTCACGCGAATACCATTGCCATTCACACSTTAGCCAGCTGGTCGAAATGCAGTCTTGATTCTAAAGTAAACAGTGAGTACTTCAAGAAAAAAGTATATATTTATATTGATATATTAATATACAATGAATCAAGGTTCTGTTTCTGCTGACATTAAACTCGAAACCGAAAACGAGGACGGTACAAATGAGGAAGAATTGCCTGTGGATTGCTTATCAAAAAATATGTACCATCCACGCATTGCATTAAAGTAAGGTTATGACTTTAGATATAAATATAAATGGAATTCACGCATTGAAAATGTGCTTTTTTTTCTATTTCTTTTAGAAACGCTATTGACGAATGGTTGCCTGAGTTCTTTGTGGCAAAGGAAGCCTGGGGTCCCATTACGAAACCGCAACCACAAGTAACAAGTAAGATCTTTCACATCTCTTACTAATTTAAGTATTTTAAATCTTTTCTCCCTATATATATTTGTTTTYCGTTGGATAGTGGTTATGCCTATTATTCCAATTATACCGTCTATTAATACCTGTATGAGTTTGACGACAACAACAACGACATCGACAAGCACGAAAACTATAACGGTGCCTGAAGTGAACACCACACAACTCCAAGCTTTGGCTGACGTGTGCAGTACCGTTAACTCATCAGTTATTAATCCGATTTCGAATCCCGTTATGAATTCCTTGGTTTCTCCAACAAAAGTTGTAACAAATGAAGACATTGTAAATCCCATACCCACATGTGTAGCGTCAAATATCGAGCTGCCCAAAAAAATTCCAATATCCATCGTAGCGGTACCAATAATGCACTCCAAAGTTGTGGAGGATATATTGCCGCGAAATTTAGGCACGGAAGGCGAGATTCTGAAATCGCCAGTTTCTGGACTGGAGCTAACAGCGGCAATAACAAAACCAATACCGGTAGCAATTGAAAATAGCTCTGCACTAACAAAGTCAAATTTAAATGCAAACAATGCATCGACAACACTAAATCAGAATAATGTGAGCAAGGAGGACGAAATGAGTGTTGAGAAAGTGCAATCACTATCTACAGAATCGCCAATTGGGAACTTGAATCATGAAGAGAAGTTGCCGGATGCTTTAACAATTGAAAGTGTTGACACACCTATTGAAAAGGTGCCAGAACTATCAATAGACACCAGTGGAACGCCGCGAGATGTGGTAAATAGTACAGGTGCTCTACCTATGGTAGATGAGCATACTTTGAGCCCGCTCAGTGCAATCAGCGCTGGTGGCAATGAACCGATGGAATGCAGCAGTAGTCTAGCTTCGCAGGCTTCTGGAAAGGAAGATCGCAAAATGATTTCTGAAGATGTTGTAATGGCTGAAGGTGTGGACGATGATGATATTTGCAATGGCTCGATGAACGAACTGAATGTAAAGAATTGCAAATTTAAAATTTCGTGAGTGCAAATATTAACAATTTTACTTTTCTAACTCTGCTTCTTATACAGAATAGCATGCAGGTGGAAAGTTCTGAAGGTTCACCTCTCTCAAATGCCGACATGAAAGACTGCGATGACAAGTAATTACTTTTTTATTTTATATTAAATATTTGTATTATTTTCCTTTGACAGAAATCCTCCGGAGGCCGGTAGTAGTAGTAGCATTACTGTGGAGGATCTTTACTTACTATGTGATCTTTTTTATCTGCCATTTGAGCATGGAAATCGTGGTTTTAAGCTATTAAATGAATTCAACTGGTTAAAATCGAATGCTAGTGTGTTRCTAGGTAACGACAAAGCTGTTAGAAAATGTTCTAATGCAGATGGCGCAGTATCACCCAAACCAGAGGTAGCCGAGTGGATGCAGCGAGCGGAATCATTCTCCAAGCATTGTAATTCTGTACACGAACTRCTACGTAAAATCGCTAATTGTGCTAATAAGGAGATATGTCATGATTTATTTTCTTACGTGTGGGACATTGCTGGCACTTTGACACTATTAAATGCGTTTGTGAAATGGCTGAGTCTTGGTCATTTTCCGCCTAATGTTCAAACCTACACGCAGGGTACATACACATGTAAGCATATGCATATATGGAAGGAAAGGGACGTGAATTTATTTGTATGTGGTGTACTTTACGTTAACTACTTACAGGGTTCAGTAAGGGCTGGAAGGAGGCTTTCATGTCGGGCGAACAAGAACCTTGGGTATTTCGTGGCGGTCTTATCGCTGATTTGCAAGTGAGCCTCTCAACAAATTAGATTTATTAATTGTCTTTTATAAAAAAATTATTGTTCTTTTACGAAGCGTCTGATGCCTGTGGATTCTGGAAATGACCTGTTTCTATATAAACTCCCTGAACTGCCAACAAGCGACTATCATTTAATACGCCCCTATACACCAATTGACGAAGTTGAGCTAGGGCAAGTTTGTACACAGGCGTTTTTGCAGTTAAGCGTAAATAGTGGGGACGACAGACCGGTCGAAAGTGACGTTGGTTTCGAATCTCTGTTTCCCAGTCATTTGAGTGAACTTATTGCGGATAATATTGTTGGACATTTTGTCACGTTGTATCCTCAGTTGTGTATTGTTGCACATGACGCTTCTAATGCTATTGTTGGTTATGCAGCTGCTGCCTTAAACATTCACACATTCATGCGAAATGTGGAAGTATGTTGGATACCATCGATGAGAGAAAAGTACTCCGAATCTCTACTGGAAAAAGACAACTTCATTGATGTGGCAAATGGATCAGAAAGTGCACAGAGACATTCATCTAAGCTTAATGCACTTATTGCTGAAATGATACGCGATTTTCATAATTATGAATATCAATGTCCACTTGAAGTAAGTAACGCATATCCGGCTTTAATAACAGCCACCGCCTTAAAGGATGCATTATTAAGGGATTATGGAATTTTGAAGCGTCTAATAACTGTAACTTTGGCCACATTACGTTCGAATGGATGCTTTGGTGTTCATGTCCGTTTGTCTTTTAAGGATTCTGAAATCTTTCAACAACATTATGCAAAAATAGGATTTACGGAAGTGTATCGTGATCCTGAAAATAAATTTATATATCTTGGGCGACGTTTTTAGCAACTGCCAGCTCAGTCACAACCAATTTTATTGCTAAAATTCCGTCGAAGAATGCGAAACGTGCA